GGTGGGATGGCCACGCTTTGTGAAAAGCACCCCGAAGCACGCTCACGCAGAAAGCAAGGGGGAACTGGAGCAAACCCGTAGCTACCAGAGACTCGGACGCGCAGGGAGGACTTCCCACAGAAAAGCAGCAGCCCTGGCTGGTGGCTCAGTGGTTAGCACCTCTGCCCACGCACTGAGGGCTCTCGGGTTCGATTCCTGGTCAAGGGCACAGACCTGGGATCCCCAGCCCCAGCCAAGGCATGTGCAGGAGGCAGCCAATCCATGTGTCTCTCTTTAGGAGGATCTCTCTCTCTCTCTCTCTCTCTCTCTCTCTCTCTCTCTCTCTCTCCCTTCCAATGGAAAAAATATCCTCAGATGAGGACTGAAAAACAAAAGACAACAACAAAAGAAAGGTCCCTACAAAGAAACTCCAGGCTTAGACAGCTTCACAGGTGGATCCCCCCATCCCCAGGAGAGAGAGTGAGCCGGGGCGAGGGAGTCCGCAGGGCTCCGCACTGGGGGTGCTGCTCCCCGCAATGAGACAAGAAAGAGATAGTGAGAATCGGCGAGGACGCAGCTTTCGTGACCAACACCCCGGACCACACGCCCGGGGGGGCCTCTGGGAAGAGCTACCAGGACCAGAGTGTGCTTAGCGAGGCCCCAGGACACACACGGGACTCCAACGTCTTTCTACAAAGTGGGCGTGAGCAATGGGACGGGGGCCTGTAAGAACAATCCCAAGAGCGTCAGCCTGCAGACCAAGGGGTCCTGGGTTCGATTCCGGCCAAGGGCACATACCTTGGTTGCAGGCTCCTCTCTGGCCCAGGCCCTGGTCAGGGCTTATGTAGGAGGCAACCAATCAATGTGTTTCTCTCACATCCATATTTCTCTCAGTCTTCCCCTCTCTCTTCCACTCTCTCTAAAGATCAATGGGAAAATATCCTCCAGTGAGGATTAACATCAACAACAACAACAAAACGATACCACTTCCCAAGCGTGTCACCCAAAACAGGGATAAACCCGGCAGGAGGGTGTGAAAGAAAGCACCGAGGAGAGCGATGGAGGGCCACAGACGCATGGGTTGGGAGAGTCGGTCCGGGAGGGGAGGGCGCCAGCGGTCCCTCCGCTTAGTCTCGAGGTTCAGCACAACCCCAGTCGGAGCCCCAGCGGCTTCCCACGACCGAGTCCACGGTTCCCCCAAAAAGGTGGGGACCCAGCGCTGTCTGAGCATCCCCAGAAAGAAGAAGGAAGTAGAGCTGGTGTTCTAAGTATCAGCACAGGACAAGAGCGACGAAAAAATCACCGGTGTGCCGAAGCCGGCTTGGCTCAGTGGTAGAGCGTCGGTCTGCGGACTGAAAGGTCCCGAGTTCGATTCCGGTCAGGGGCATGTGCCTTGGTTGCGGGCACATCCCTGGTAGGGGGTGTGCAAGAGGCAGCTGGTCGATGTTTCTCTCTCATCGACGTTTCTAGCTCTCTATCTCTCTCCCTTGCTCTCTGTAAAAAAAATATCAATAAAATATATATTTTTTAAATTCACCGGTGTGAGTGTCAAGCTTCTCCCTCAGAGCAATAGGGTGCAGGAAGGCCTCGCGTTCGGGGGGGCCATCCCTCGTCCAGGGAACCACGCCGGGAGGCTGGCATGGCCACGGGCAGGACTGGTAAGGGTCACGGTGTGGAATCAGACCTCGCCCTCCAGCCAGAGGTGAACTCAGCGGGTCACGGGCCCACCACACACGGGAGAACCACTGCACACGGGAGACCCCCTTTGTGAGCGCCGACGGACAGGGCCCAGGTCCCCCAGACTCAAGGCCAAGACAGCAGCCCCCCAAAGAGCAAGCGGGTGCGTTACGAGGCCTCAGAAACGTTCACCCTTCGCTCTTTAAAAGACGCTGTCAGGAGAAGGAAAATCTCAGACACCAGGGCCAGAACCAGAAGACAGAAAGCACTCTCAAAAAAAAGGGAGGGAAATGAACAAGAAATGCACAGAAAGCCCAGACACTTCATAATGAGAAAACAAACAACGGGGTTTTAAAAAAATGGGCCGAAGATTAGAAGCGACACCTCATTAACAAGATAAATGAAGGGCAAGCGAGCATGTGAACCCTGAGGGGGGCGGGGGGGCCGCACTAAAATCACAGGATGCCCGGCTCTCAGGACCGAGGCGCCCGCAGGCCCACCCAGCGCCCGGTGTCCCCGGGGCGGCGGGGGCCCCACCTCGCGAGTAGCAATGTGAAAGGAACCAGTTGGCAGTGTCTCCTTCTCTTAAAAACAGTTAAACATAAACCCCCCGTGTGATCGGAGCCCTGCTCCTTCGAAGCATTTACCCACGAGAAAAGGAAGTGTTTGTCCTTGTAAAGACTTTCACATGAATGTAAATACCGCTTTGTTTTTTCATCGCCCAAAAGCTGGAAACGGCCCAGATGTCCATCAGCGGGGAATGGATAAACAGGCTGTGGTGTGTCCCACCGTGGCGGCCGGAGGAATGCGGGGCGGGCGCACGCGAGGCACGAATGCGTCCCACAATAGCTATGCCGGGGAAGGGAGCCAGCCAGGGCGTTCTATACTGTACTTCCATTTATGGAAGACCATACCGTGCAGGCCGACCGGGTCACGGCGCCCGCCGGGGAGCGGGGGAGGCGGGAGGGAGAGGGACCATCAGGCTGTGGGGGAGAGGGGTGCGGGCCGGGGCCGCACATCCATGGGGCGACACGGAGCTGGTGTGAACAGTTAAGAGCCAGGGGGCCAACGGAGCAAAAGTTTTGAGTCCAATATGACTGACCAAGAATCACGGGAGGAACACGGTGAATACACTTGGAAATGCACAAGAAACTAAAAAACCGGAATAGGTTTGCCAAGGCGGCCGCAACCAAGGGCCCGGGCTGCGTCGGGAACCAGACACTCACCGTGGGTCCTGAAGGCTGGGCCCCTGAGGCCTCCCGCCTGGGCGTGCGGGTGCTGTGCTGGTCCCATCCTGTGTCCTCACCTCCTCTTCCCAGAAGGACCCCAGACCTGTGAGATCAGGCTTTACAGGTCCCAGCTCCACACACAGGCCCATTCCGAGGTCCGGGGTGAGGGCTTCGGCAGCGGATGGGGGGACACCATTCAGCTCCTAGCATCACCTCACTAGAGCGGGAAAGGAACCGGATATATGAACAGATAAGTCACAGATTCAGGAACACAAAGAAGGGCCAACACCAGTGAGCACAGACACATGGCGCCGGGTCCCTGTGTGCCAGGCCCTACGAGGCCAGACGTGCCTCGGGAGGCGTCCTCAGCCGGGTCCCGAAAGCTGGATGGTCGCAGGGCCTTGCTCTGAGCAGGGACGGCACTCACTCCTTCCGTCAGCATGGCCGCCACGTGGACCCGTTGTCCCTGCAGGTGACCTCGGCTCCGGATTGGAATCCCAAAGCCACTCCGATGGGGTGCTGGGGAGGGGCCACCCTGGCCCGGGCTGCCCGGCCTTTGCCAGCCACCCACAGAGTCCCCTGACCCTAACCTTGCCCCCGAGGGAAGCGGAGGCGTAGAGATGACTGCCACCCACAGCCCTGACCGGTGTGATTCAGTGGATAGAGCGTCGGCCTGCGACTGAAAGGTCCCGGGTTCGATTCCAGTCAAGGGCATGTACTTTGGTTTCGGGCACAACCCCAGTGGGGGGTGTGCAGGAGGCAGCTGATGGATGATTCTCTCTCATCGATGTTTCTAACTCTCTATCCCTCTCCCTTCCTCTCTGTGAAGAATCAATAAAATATATATATTTTTTAAATAAAAAAAGACTGCCACCACGGTAAGGGGTCTCAGGACCCAGGTCCTGCTGGCTGGTTTCCTGCCGGAGCCCCTGGGGCCAGAAACCCAGGGAGCCCACCCTCAGGAGGGCGGGTCTGGGCGGCCATGAGCGCCACGTGTAGCCAGAGCCCTGCTTTCGCTCGTGGGGGAGGAGGAGGTGAGGGCCGTTAAACGGAGGGGCCCTCTCTGGGCTCAGAAACCCAGTCCTGGGGGGAGGGCTCCGCCGACAGATCATCAGGGAGGCAAGGGCTGAGTGTTGAGGGGTCCGCAGCGTAGCAGAGCCCCCAAACCGGCACCGCGGCCCCCACCGCCCCCTCCCAGCCACCCACGACGCGGAGCACAATTTCCGGCCACATCTCCGCACACACGTAACATCTCACCTTCCAGCGAGAGCAGGCCTCAGCCACACTTCATAAACGAGCGCCCTCCCCTCCCCTCCCCCTGGCCGGTCCCTTTTTTTCTTTCTGGTTTTGTTTTGTTAATCCTCACCCGAGGATATTTTTCCATTGATTTTCAGAGAGAGGGGAAAGGGGGAAGGGGAAGCGAGCGACACACAGGCGGGGAACCAAACCTGTACCGAGGCCTGTGCCCTCCACCTGGAAATGACCGGGGCCCTCTGGTCCGCAGGCCGGGGCTCTGTCCACTGAGCCAGCCGGCTCGGGCCACAGAACAGTCCCCTCCAGGAGGGAGAGGGTCCACCCTACCCTGCCCGTCCCCCAGGCAGGCTGGGGCCCACTGTCCCCGCTGACCCTGCCCCGGGCCCCGGGCCCCAGGCCCCGTCCTTGCCTGCGCCTTCATCCTGGGTGACCCCACTCAGGCCGCCCCTATCTGCAAACACACCCAGGAGCTCCCCCAGCAGCAGCTGCCAGGCCCAGCCGCCTGCCCCCTTCTCTGGGGTGGCATGCCCACCTGTGGCGGGCTGGGCACTCCTCTGCCATGGCCCCCTGCCCTGCAGAGCCTGTAAGGCGCTTTGTGGTGCAGAGAGGACCAGGCCACCCGGGGACAGGAGAGGGGCGCTTTGTGGTGCAGAGAGGACCAGCCCCCCCCCCCCTCCCCAGGACAGGAGAGGGCGCTGGCTGGGGGACCCCTGGCTCTCTGGGTGCGGCTCAGGTGCAGGGAGCTCCGGACCCGTGCCGGCCGCGCGGGGCGGGGCGCGCCCTCCGGACACCAGGGGGCGCTGCTCGGAGGCCTCGGGGCCACGCGCAGGAGCCTCTCTGCCCGCAGACCGGAAGTCGGCGATGGCGCGGAACGTGCTGTGAGTGAGGCGGCCCGCGGGGGGGGGGGGAGGGGGGGGACACGGGGGTCACGGCCGAGGGGGCGCGGGCCCGACCGCAGCGGGGCCTGGCGGTCGGCGGAGTGTGTCCGAGTGCGCCCGGCAGCCGCACCCCCTCCCGGCCCCGGTGCGGGCCCTGCGCTGCCCGGCCCGGCCGGCCCAGCCCCCGAGTGCCCCGGCCCCCCGAGTGCCCCGGCCCCCCGAGTGCCCCGGCCCCCCGAGTGCCCCGGCCCCCCGAGTGCCCCGGCCCCCCGAGTGCCCCGGCCCCCCGAGTGCTCCAGGCCCCCGAGTGCCCCGGCCCCCCGAGTGCCCCAGGCCCCGAGTGCCCCGGCCCCCCGAGTGCCCCAGGCCCCGAGTGCCCCGGCCCCCCGAGTGCCCCAGGGCCTGCGCGTGCACAAGTGCGGGCGCGAAGAGGGGTGCGGGCCGGCCGGGGAGAGGCTGGGGGAGCGCGAGGGGCCGGCGCAGGCGGGCGGAAGGAGCCGGTCGGCCGCCGGCGCACGTGCTGCCGGGGAGGCCGGGGAGGCCCTGGGGAGGGGGAGCCGGGGTGGGGGCGAGGGTGGGATGGGATGAGTCAGCCTCGGGGCCACAGGGCGGGAGGGCTGCTGGCGGGCAGCCGAGCAGGGATGGGTCGAGTTGCTTGCGAAACAGGGGAGCGGTCAGGGGGGCACGGGGTGGGCCCCACGGGGGAGCCGGGGCCCAGGGCCCTGCAGGAGGGTGGTCAGCAGCCCGAGCTGGGGGCAGGGGCCTCGGTAGGCTCTCTTTCCCACCTCCACCCTCACACGGGGCCTCTCTGCACCCCCAGTGAAGCGTGGCCCTGCAGGCCCCCGCTAGGGCTGGGGTCCTGGAGAGATGGGGAGTCCAAACCAGTGTCCCTGCTCGCCTGCGTGGCCGGGGGCCCAGCCTACGGCCCCTGCAGAGCTGCCATCAGGAGCCCAGGGTACAACAAGGCAGGCCTTGTACCCAGACCTGCTGCTTCCCGCCCCTGCGTGCCCAGCTCAGCCATCCAGTTCAGGGGCCCCGGCCTGAGCCCTGCCCTGGGGGAGCAGCCCCCAGCACTCCTGCCTCAGCCCTCAGGACACCCCACAAGGTCCTCGGACCCCCCGGCCGCCTCACACTCCCAGACTCGAGGAGAAAGAGCCGGTGTAGGATTCAGCCCCACAGAGCCCCTTCCCGGTGCAGCCGATGGTCCCAGGGGTGTGTGTGTGGGGGAGGGGACGTCAGGGAGACCCCCAGCACCCACCTTCCACCAAGATCTGCCCCTGGGCTCCCCGCCCGCCCGTCTGGCCCGGAGCCTGGGTCCGTTTGGAGATGGCAGTGGGTCGGAGTTGCAGCCACTCTGCCCACCTTGGGGGACTTTGGGGTTGGGGTATGTGTGTGGGGAGCAGGATGGGGAACTGCACACACCGTACCCTGAACCCTGCGTCTTCACTCTTTCTGAGGAGCTGGCGTTCTCCTCCCCACGGGGTGAGGGAGGGACCCAGCCCCACTGCGGGGCTGAGCCTCTGCCCCTGGGCTGACCCCGTCCACTTCCCCCCAGCCCAGCGCACGGGCCTGCCTGCCGTGTGGGGGCCCCCCCTGGGATGGCGGCCGCCGTGTGGGGCCCAGAGTCGGTTCTCCGTGGCTCTTTGTTTCTTGAGTCGGTCACGGGCGCTTTCTGGCCTCCGAGGTCAGCAGCCCTGCTACCCCCGTTGGTGCGGGGTCTGGGGAACTGGCCCCACACTGGGCAGAGCCATGTGAGGGTGTGAGTGAGGTGCAGGGGCCGGGGCTGGGGCCTGCGGAGAGCTGGCGATCTGGCGGGCAGACGGGCGTGGGGCGTTCGGGCCTGCGGAGAGCTGGCGATCTGGCGGGCAGACGGGCGTGGGGGCGTTCGGGCCTGCGGAGAGCTGGCGATCTGGCGGGCAGACGGGCGTGGGGCGTTCGGGCGGTGGACGGTGGACCGGCCTCTCCCGCACAGGTACCCCCTGTACCAGGTGGGCGGCCCGCAGCTCCGCGTCTTCCGCACCAACTTCTTCGTCCAGCTGGTGCGGCCCGGCACGGCCCAGCCCGAGGACACCGTGCAGTTCCGGATCCCTATGGAGTGAGTCCGCAGGGACGGGGCCGTGGGAGGCCCGCAGGCAGCCCCCCGAGGCTCTGACGGAGTCCTGGCCGGCCCCCTGCGCCCGGGAGAGGCCCCCTTCTCTCCTGCCCTGCCTGCCCAGTCCTGTCACCGCTCTTCCCCAAGCAGCTCCTGTCCCCACAGCTGCAGGGTGCCTGTCGGGGGGGGGGGGGGGGGTTCGGCTTGAGCACCCGTGGGAACTGGCAGGGGCAGGAGAGGCTGGGCCCGGGTGTCAGATCCATTCGGGCGAAAAGGACAGTCCCTCTGCCAGTGCCGGTCGAGGTGGGGCAGCCGCTGCCGACGGGGCCACGTGGGACTGACCAGGGGCCCGGGGTCTGGTCCCTCCGTCACCCCCACACTAACGTGGTGGTGGGAGTGAGGGGCGGGGGCCCGCTGCTGGCCCTGGGGGCGGGGGGCAGCCCAGCCACAGCGTGGCTTCTCCCTGACATGGCCAAGGAGGCCGTGCCCCATCCTCCCTGCCAGCCCAGCTCACAAGTCCCGTCCTTCCTCCCAGGATGACCAGGGTGGACATGAAGAACTACCTGGAGCGCATCTACAGCGTGCCCGTAGCTGCTGTGCGGACCAGGGTGCAGCATGGTGCGTGCCGGGGGGGCGGGGGGTCATACCTCCCGACCTTGCCCCACTGACCCACCACACCCTCGCCGCCACCCGTGGTCCAGTCCTCGGCACGGCTCCGGCTGACTTCCGGGGTCACACTCCTCACAGGCAGAGCTGGGTCTGGGCCTGAGCAGCGCTGGGGGCCGGCCCCACAGGCCCCTCCAAGCGCTGCTTCACCCCCCTCCTCGCCTTCCCGGTTCCTTCCTGGCCCCCTTCCTCCCCGGGGACCCGCAGGCCTTCAGTCTGAGGAGCCGGCGGGAGCCTCGTGCTGAGCGTTTCAGCCATGTCGGGGTTTCAGCAGAGGGGGCTCTGGCTCGTGCCCCCGAGCAGGCTCGCAAGGCCACCGCTGGGGTGTGCGTGCCAGCACGCGGGGGCCCCGTCTCTTTGTAAAGGGCGCCTGGAGTAGGGGCCTCGGGCTTTGTGCGGGCAGTCACGGCTTCTCCCCCCGACAGGTTCCAACAGGAAGCGGGACCACAGGAACGTCAGGGTGAAGAAGCCAGACTACAAGGTGGCCTACGTGCAGCTGGTGAGCATGCTGGCCGAGGCGGGGGCACGGGGGAGGGTGGGCGCCAGGGGACCTGCATGTGCCGTGACCGGCAGTGACCTCTCGGGAGCGGGGGGCCACGTTGTTTGTGCAGCAGCCGCTGCCCGGGGCCCAGGAAGGCCTTGAGGGGCAGGATCTCAAGGTCCACTGCCCTCCGCTCTAATCCACAGTGGGCCGGCGGAGCCGGGGTTCAAAGCACAGCTAAGCTGGTGGGAGGGGCCGGCGGGCACTCTGGAGTCTCGGGGCCACCCCTGTCGAGCCTTTGAACTCTGAGCGCGCTGCGGGCAGAGCAGGCCCACCCAGGCCCGGGGATTTGGACTCTGACAGAAACCAGATCACCCCGAGCATCAGAGCCCTGGCCCCAGGGCCTGCGCTGGGGCCACTCCCATGCCCAGAGGCCCCCCACCCCCTCCGCGAACGCTGGGTTGTGGGCGCCTGCACGGTCCCCAGGTTCCCCCCGTGGGTCCTGCCTGGCCAGGGGCGTCTGACCCCCAAGCCTTACTGACGGAGCCCAGGGCTGTGGACACTGGCTCACTCCCACTTTCCCAGGGCGGCCCAGGCTGGCTGCCTGCTCAGGGGTGCTTGTCCCTGACCCCCAAGGCCATGAGGCCCTGGGCAGGGTCTCCGCGTCGCCGGGCGGGCACCTCCCAGGTCAGCCCTGCTCTCCGGGTCCGGGCGCTGCCCCTCTGCTTGGTCCTGGGGGCTGGGGGGCTCCTGCCCGTGCTCTCTGTGTCTGAGCCCCCGGGGCCGCGGCGCCGGCCGCTAGATGGCAGTAGCGTTGTGGCGAAGCCCGGCCGGCCGCAGCCCAGTGGCTCCGGGAGGCCCGGGTGAGGGGACCCCGTCCGCGTGGCAGCTTTTCTGAAAAACAGTCACAGCTGTTGTACTGAGCGGGGCCCCCGTAATTATTTGCCCTAATATTTGCCGTCCATAAAACCAGCCCGCGTGGGGCGGGGGGCGCCCAGCCTCATAAAGACGCCTGTGTCCTATGTCCGGGCGGCCATCCGTCTCTGTCACGGCGGCGGGTGGACGGCCATATGTCCACATTGGCCACGAGGCCCCTCTCGGGGAGCTGTGGTTACAAGTGGCTTTGGAGCCATCCAAGCCCCGAGTTCTTGACCGGGCCCCCACCCGCACCCCCATCCCCACTCCCACTCGTGAAAACCGAACTGAGCACTTAGATTGGGGTCTGCAGCGGCTCCTCTGACACCTTTGTGAGCCCCAGGCAGCACCCAGGCCACCCCACTGGTACCCAGGGCCCCGCCGGGCCAGCCCTGCTGCTCTGAGTTACGTCTGTGAGCCCCCTGCCCACCCCAGGGCCCCAGGAGCTTCCCACAGCCTGCAGCACGGCGAGGGGGGCTGTGCCCCCCGAAAGGTTCCCTCCCCTGTCCAGTCCCCCGAGGTGGGGGCCCCGGCCGCAGCGGCCTGTCCCTCCGGGCCCCCTTGGGGCTTCTAAACACAGAGCAGCTACAGAGTACACTGAGGGTCAGTCAGAAAGACAAATCCAATCACTCAGGTTTATTTTGAGTCCGCGGCTGCGGGAAAGCTGGTCCCACCGGGTGGGAGACCCACATGCCTTCCTTCTCTGACAACCTGATAAACATCTCCCTGGCCCCAAGTCCGGCTCCAGCGAGGGCCGAGGGCCCCCGGAGGCCACACAGCAAACAGGCTGACCGCCGGGGGCTGTGTTGACACAGCACCAGGAATGCAGGGGCTGCAGGCTCGCAGGGTGGAGTGGTGGAGTGCAGACAATGGCCGGCTCTGGAGCCGGAGCCGCCGGGGCTGGGTCCCTCACGGCATGCCCCCCGCTTTCCTGTCCTTTTCCGCAGCCCGGCGCCCTCGCCTCCGCAGGCTGGAGGGGCTGTGGGGGAGGACCAGGTGAATTCTCTGCAAGGGGCCGTGCCCACAGGCCACATTCCTTTCCCTGGGCCCCTGTGCTCTCCCGACTGCTGCAAACGGCCATTTTGTGTTTGTTTAAAATGCCATTTTGGGTTTCTCCACCTCAGAAAACTAGCAGAATCACCTCGATGTATTAAATATACCACCACCACCCCACCCCGGCTCCGAGCAGTCAGCCTTCCACGTAAACTATTGCCCTTTGGTATTTTTTTTTTTTTAAAGGAAAAAAAGAAAGGTTTTGAAACGTGTAAGATAATTCTCCCTCGGGCTGGCTACACTGCACCCCATGACCCGAATGTATGAACCTCACGTTCTCGGGGGGCACACGGGCCGGGTCAGCCTGTCCCTGGCCGCCCACCCGCAATCCAGATTTCTCTGCACACAAGGGTCTGCGAGAACCAAGCACGCTTCCCTGATTCACGAGTGGAACTCCCGACTCGGGGCCCCCTCGCCTCCTGCCTCCCTGCCGGCTGGGTGCCCTCCGCTCCCGGCCTTGCACCAGCACCAGCGCCGGCCGGGCCTGGGGTGGTGGGAGGGACCTGGGGGCATGCGTGAGAGGGGAGAGCTGGGCAGAGGCCAGGCCCTGCTCCTCTGTGGCTTGCACGGGGGCAAGGGGCTCTGCCAGAGGGGTGCCCTCCGTGGGGAGAAGGCCAGGCTTTGGAGGGAAGAGGTTTGGGCGACGCCGCACACAGTGGGGCCGTGTCCCTGAGCCTCTCTCTGGCCCCGTTCCCCCGGCGGCCGCAGGCACCTCGCAGACGGAGCCACGGGCAGAGTCGGGACCTCGTGGGGCCCCCGGCCCAGGTGACAGGGAGGGGAAGTGGCGAGGCCCCGTCCGCGCAGCCGGGGGCCCTGCCACCATGCACGCTCTGGCCGCTGCAGCCTCGGTCCCGCCCGCAGGCCCACGGACAGACCTTCACGTTCCCGGACCTCTTCCCTGAGAAGAAGCCGAGCCCCGAGGACGGCTCCGCGGAGGACAGCCTCGAGGCGCTGATGGAGGAGCAGCGGCAGCGCCAGCACCAGGACCCCCGGCGGGGCGGCGTGCCCCAGTGGTTCGGCCTGTGACCCCTGTGGCCCAGGGCGGCTGCCTGAGTAAATAAAGTTCCTGTGTGCACCTCGACCGGCTCTCCCTCCGTCCCCCGGCCTCCCGCCGGTCCGCACCCCAACCCCGGCTCTCCCTCCGTCCCCTGGACTCCCGCCGGTCCGCACCCCAACCCCGGCTCTCCCTCCGTCCCCTGGACTCCCGCCGGTCCGCACCCCAACCCCGGCTCTCCCTCCGTCCCCCGGCCTCCTGCCGGTCCGCACCCCAACCCCGGCTCTCCCTCCGTCCCCCGGCCTCCCGCTGGTCCACACCCCGATCCCGACCCGGCTCTCCCTCCGTCCCCCGGCCTCCCGCTGGTCCACACCCCGACCCGGCTCTCCCTCCGTCCCCCGGCCTCCTGATGGTCTGCACCCCAATCCCGACCCGGCTCTCCCTCCGTCCCCTGGACTCCCGCTGGTCCGTACCCCAATCCCGGCTCTCCCTCCGTCCCCCGGCCTCCCGCTGGTCCGCACCCCGACCCGGCTCTCCCTCCGTCCCCGGGCCTCCCGCTGGTCCGCACCCCGATCCCGACCCGGCTCTCCCTCTGTCCCCCGGCCTCCCGCTGGTCCGGCAGCCTATTCCCGGCTCACCCCCTGTCCCCCGGCCTCCCGCTGGTCCGCACCCCACTCCCAGCTCCCCCTCCATACTCCTGCCTCCCTCTAGTCTGCACCCCAACCCAGCTCTCCCTCTGTCCCCTGGCCTCCCACTGGTCCGCACCCCAATCTGGCTCACCCCCCGTCCCCCAACTTTCTGCTTGTTCCCACCTTGTTCCCGGCTCTCCCTCTGTGCCCCGGCCTCCCAGTGGCCCACACCCGACCCGGTTCTCCCTCCGTCCCCTGGCTTCCCGCTGGTCCGCACCCTATTCCCGGCTTACCCTCTGTCTCCCAGCCTCCTGCTGGTCCCCGTTACCCCCTCTTGGCTCATCCTCCGTCTCCCAGCCTGCATCCCATTCCCAGCTCACCCTCCATCCCCTGGCCTCCTGCCGGTCCGGCACCCTGTTCCCGGCTCTCCTTCTGTCCCTCGGCCTCCTGCCGGTCCGGCACCCTGTTCCCGGCTCACCCTCTGTCCCCCGGCCTCCCGCCGGTCCGGCACCCTGTTCCCGGCTCTCCCTCTGTCCCCCGGCCTCCCACCAATCCGGCATCCTGTTCCCGGCTCTCCTTCGGTCCCTCGGCCTCCCGCTGGTCCGCACCCCCTCCCGGCCTGGCTCTTCCTCTGTCCCCCGGCCTCCTGCCGGTCCGGCACCAGCTCTCCCTCTGTCCCTCGGCCTCCCACCGGTCCGGCACCCTGTTCCCGGCTCTCCCTCTGTCCGCCGGTCCAGCACCGGCTCTCCCTCTGTCCCCCGGCCTCCCGCCGGTCCGGCACCGGCTCTCCCTCTGTCCCCTGGCCTCCCGCCGGTCCTGCACCCTGTTCCCGGCTCTCCCTCTGTCCCCCGGCCTCCCACCAATCCGGCATCCTGTTCCCGGCTCTCCCTCTGTCCCCCGGCCTCCCGCCAGTCCGGCACCGGCTCTCCCTCTGTCCCCCGGCCTCCCGCCAGTCCGGCACCGGCTCTCCCTCTGTCCCCCGGCCTCCCACCGGTCCGGCACCCGCTCCCGGCCATGCGCACAGCAGCCCACAGTCACAGTCACACATCTAATCGACCCCATGGTGCAGGGCCAAGGCCTGGACCCCCGTGCAGTGTGAGCCTCCACAGTGAGGAGCTGGTGGGTGTTTGGAGGAGTTTCCTGCCGCAGGGGCAGGGGCCGGGCGCTGTCTGAGCTGGGGCCCCAATTCCGCAGGGTGGGCGGGTTCGAGTGGACAGGGGCTGCGAGGGACCAGGTGTGTGGGGGATGCCATGCAGAGCAGGGCCTGGCGCTGGCACCGGGGGAGGACACAGCCCGTGAGGGTGCGGGTCCAGGCCACCAGGGGCTGGGCTCCTGCCCCGGCTGCCGCCCTGCTGGTCTGTGAGCCTGAGCTCTGCCCCCCGCCCCACGGGCAGCCAGCCGCCCCCTGCTCAGGGCGCCTGGGAGCCAGGACGCCATCGTGTCTGCGGCAGGGTTGGTGCTGAGGGGTCGGCCTGAGCTGGGTGGCAAGAGAGTGGACCACACCACACCCTGCCCGTGCGGGGGCTGCAGGGAAGACAGTGGGGAGCTAGCATGGCCACCCCTCCACCGGGGGCACCCCTCTCCCCCATCCCCGCCGTCGGCTCAGCCCCCCTCCGCGCCTGCAGGGTGAAGGTCCAGGCAAGCCCACCCTTCAGTGTTGATTTAAAGTGACGGGAGGGTCCGGAAGTGAGCCGGAGGCCAGGCAACGGCATTTTCCTCAGAGAAATAACTCATGGGGCCCTGCCGCCCCCAGGACCCCGGCCCGGGGCTAGGAGGGGAACCGCGTTCCTCACCGCTGCCTTCCAGCCAGCCGCCCCCACAGGCGCCTCCCGGGGCAGCCTTGGCCCGCAGGCCCTCCCTGCTGGGGGAGGGGGCTGCAGGGCCTGGGAGCTGCTGCCTGGGAAAGAGGAGGGCCCCCCAACCCCAGGCTCCTCTGCCTCCCTGGCGCCCGCAGGGCCAGCAGGGCCTGTGGGAATGTGGGGAGGGAAGGGTCTCGGCAGCAGCGAGGCCGGGGAATGCGGGGGTGGAGTTGCTTTCAGGAATCCAGGAAAGGGGCCTCCATCTGGGGGCCTGCTGGGCCGCACCCCAGGCAGGGGGCTGGGGAGGGGGGCAGGCCTTGCAAAGCGCCTCTGCCTGGAGAGCCTGAGCCCCTGCTACTCGGTGACTCATTTTCCCTTTTTCTTTCGTAGCTGCCCCCCCTGTACACCACCCCGCACACATGGGGACCAGAGGGGGGCCTCCCCACAAGACCCCCACGTGGCCCACAGGGCTGTCAGCTCCTGCAGAGGCCCAGGCCGGCTGGAAGCCCTAGCAGGGCCCCACCCAGTGGACCAGGGTCCCCTCTGTGGGTGCCTCGGGCTGGGGCTGGGGGCTGGGGGCTGGGGGCTGGGTGGGCAGCTCCTGGGGGAGAGGAAACGGCTGAGGCAGAGCAGAGCCCGCAGCCCTGCCCAGGCCCCCGTGATGTCCAAGCAGAGCCCGCAGCCCGCAGCCCTGCCCAGGCCTCCGTGATGTCCAAACAGAGCCTGCAGCCCGCAGCCCTGCCCAGGCCCCCATGATGTCCAAGCAGAGCCCGCAGCCCTGCCCAGGCCCCCGTGATGTCCAAGCAGAGCCCGCAGCCCTGCCCAGGCCTCGGTGATGTCTGTTGTCAGCCGGTGGATGGTGCTTGCTTTGTGGGAGGGAGGGAGACCCGGCTGCAGGGACAGGGAGCTGTGGGGACTGGGACCAGCGCCTCCCGCCCTGGGGGTGCCCTGGGCCCACTCCTCACACCTCACTCCTCAGTTGGTGATGACTGAGCTGCCCCAGGCCCGGCTCTGGGGCCACAGACACATCCACACCCACTGCCCCAGGCAGGCCCAGCCTCCCGGCCTCTGGAGGGGAGCCCCTGGCCAGTGTCCCCTCAGCCTCTGGCTTCCTCTCGGGGCAGCACCATCCCCCCTGGCCCCCTCTCGTCACCCCACTCAGCTGAGCCCCTAAGTGACTCCCTCCGGGGTTGTCCCCCACCCCGTGCGGCCTGGCCAGCCCCTCTGCCGAGAAGGAGCCTCAAGTTCCATGAGGATGTCCACCACTCCCCACTGCCCTCCTCCCTCAGGCCCAGCCTCCAGCAGGGACCCAGGACTGGGACCACACCCACCCAGGTCCTACACCAGCAGACACTGGAGAAATCGGGCCCCTCAGAGTGAGCGTGTCTGGTTGGGTGCCCTCCCACCTCCCGCCATCTAGTGAATGTCCTGAGTGAATGGAGGATGGGTGGCGGCCAGGGCAGCTCCCAACAGAGGGGGTTGGGAATGGGGTCGGCCTGGGCAGGAGGTCTGGACAGGCAACAAGGTGCTGGGTGGTACTGGCACATCTGCCCCCCTCACGCCATCGCCGTCGCGGGCTGGGGGCCCAGCGCCTGCCCGGTTGGTGCGAGGCCGTGTCAGCAGTCACACCCATCAAGGGGCAGGAAGGGCAGCTGTGGGCATTCGTGTATCTTTTTAAAAATATATATTTATTGATCTCAAAGAGGAACGGAGAGGAAGAAAGAAAGAAGCATCCATGATGAGAATCACCCACCACCGGCTGCCTCCTGCACACCCCACACTGCCCTGACCGGGCATCGAACCCCGGCCTCCTGGTTTGTAGGCCAGTGCTCAGCCCCTGAGCCGCGCCGGCCGGGCTGTTGCGTCTGTTTTCAGCGGCTTTATTGAGACACGGCCACCAGAGCCTGCAGGCCCTGCGCCTCGACGGGGCGTCCTTCCATCGATGCCGAGTCCGGTGCCCATTCCCTGGATCCGGTTAGCACATCCTCACCCTGCCCGCTGCCCAGCCCACCCTGCCCGCTGCGACCCGCTGCCACCGCGTGGGTTCGGAGGTTCTGAGACACGGGTCACACGTGTGGCCTTGGGTGACCGACCGGCGTCTCTCAGCATCTCTCCCTCCAGGCATCAGCTTTGGGGCTGAGGGGTCGTCCGTGTGGGTGAAGGTGCCCCTGGGGCTGGGGCGGCCGGCCCTCTGTGGAAGGGTCTCTCCAACCCCCCTGTCCCCGAAGGCCGCGGGGAGGGGTCCGTCCTCGGACAGTCCCCGCTCCCTCGGTGTTCTGTCCGGAAGAGCCCGTACCCACGGCGGGGCCCTGAGCGCCCCCAGGGTTGGGATTTGGAGGAGGACCGGGGGCCTCCCCGGTGCAGCTGCCCTGCGCTTCCCCCACTTCCCCGTGCCCTCTAAGTGCTGCACCCCAGACCTGCTCCCCTCAGAGGACACTCGGCTCGCACCCTCAAAAACCTCGGGTGCCCAGGCAGGTGGCCGGGCTCGTGTGTGTGTGCGTGTGTGTGTGTGTGTGTGTGTGTGTGCGTGTGTGTGTGTGTGTGTGTGTGCGTGTGTGTGTGTATGTGTGTGTGTGTGTGTGTGTGTGTGTGTGTGCTCGCGCA